GCACTTTTCTCACAACAACCCTGTAAGAGAAATAGTGCATATTATAATTGGTATTAATAGTATTATGCATATTTTACAGATGAAGAAACTGAGACTGAGAAAGGTGGTGATTTACAAATTCTTTCTGACAACCTCAGAGGTCATAAAGAGACCGAGGCCCAGAAAATGGAAGCAGCTGACCCACAGTCTAATAGGTATTTGGCAGCAAAATAGTGACTCAAGCCCAGCTTCTCTGATGCCAGTCAGCAAGCTTTCCCATGAATGACACATGCCAGACTCTGGTCTCATTCGTGATAGATTTTTATTTTTATTATTTTAAAATTTTTTTATTCATTTTAAACTTAAATACAAAATGAGAAAAGAAAAAAAAAACATTGGCATATACACAGCAGAATTTAAGAGAGAACTGATATGAAACAATAAATTTCTGTTTCAAGAAACCTATATAGTAAGTACTACACATTGTTTTCAAAGTTGCCCAGCTTTTCTTTCCTTCTTTCTAGGTTTTCTTTTGTTCTCTGCTGTGCACTTTTAACTTTATTTTTTCCCCTCACCCCCCAAGAAGACTACAATTAAACACACACATGTATGTTTGTATACATATATACAGATACATCTATAAACATACACATGTGTGTTTATATACATATATCTGTATATGTGTATGTTTATAGACATATATACATATATATCTATAAACATATACATATATACACATATACACTCATACACATACATGTAAGACCACATTATGTATATTTCCACTTGTCTTCTCTTTCTCTGAAGGTAGATAGCATCTTCCCTCCTAGGTCCAAGTCTTTCCATGTTTTTCTAAATCAACCAGCTCATTATTTCCTACATCACAACAATATTCCAACTCAATCACATCCAAATCTAAGAGATTGTCTATGAAAATTTTCCCCAATTTTTTTGCATTCCTTAATTCTTGGTTACATTGGTTTTATTTATACAAGAAAATTTTAATTTAGAATAATCAAAATTATCCATTTTACACTTCAACAACACTCTCATCTTATAATACAGTTTAAGGTCTGATACTGCTAAATCTCCTTACTTTACATCTTTTCCCCCTAGTTTCTTTGAAGTTCCTGATCTTTTGTTCTTCCAAATGAACTGTGTTATTATTTTTTCTAACTCAGTAAGATTATTTTTTAGTAATTTAATTGGGATGGCATTGAATAAATAGATTAGTTAGGTAAAATTGTCATTTAAAAAATTATATTGGCTTTACCTACCCATGAACTAATAAATTACTCCAATTATGCAGACTTGACCTTGTTTGTATAAAAAGTGTTCTATGTATAAGTTCATATAGTCCCTGTCTGTTTTGACAGGTAAACTCTCAGGTATTTTATGTACTGTCTCATGATAGATTTTTAAACTTGCCAGAGCACTCTACTGCCTATTATGTCCTGCCCTTTCCAGTAATTTTCATAGGCTCAAGGATTCAGATCTAAAAGGACCCCAGAGCTCCGCTAGTACAACCCACACAGTTTATAGAGGAGGAAACTGAAGCCCTTGCCCAAGGTGACCCAGGGAGTGTCAAAGCCAAGATTCAAACTCAGATCGTCTCCTCCAGAGTATTCAATGTTCTTTTTCACTGTATCTCGCTGTCTTTTCTTATCTTTTTTCAAGGCTCACTGAAGTTGCCAGCTCCTCCAAGAAATCTCCCCCATGCTCCCAGTTGGAGCCATCTCCCTCCTTAATTATCTTACATTTTCTTCTCTGTATACTTTCCATATTCCCAAAGGAGACTATAAGTTCCTTAAAAACAGGGACTGCATTTGTCCTTGGATTCCCATCGCCCTGCACAATGCCTTGCAGAAAGCAGGCGCTAAAAGACATTTATTGTTGAATTGGCATGAGGAAAAGATGGGAGGATCTTAAAGCTGGAAGACTTTTTGGAGGTGACCTAATCTAGCCCTCTCTGTCCCTCACTGCATGCCAGAGAGATGAAGCCATTGCCCAGGGTCACACACTAGAGGCAATCAGTGGCAAAGGCAGGGCTAGAATCCAGGCCTCCAGCTGTCCTATTACATATTTTGGCTTTCCCTCCTTAAAAAACAAAACAAACAGAGCCTACCCAAAGCAGTATTCTGGATTATCACCTACTAAAGAGCCCCAGTTAAACAATTTCATAAAAGTCTGATGCCAAAGACAAGAAAAGCAGTGAGATGTTTCTCCTCCCGGAATTAACTTTTGACTTTTTATAAATAAAAAAAGTTTTCTTGGATAAGAGAAAGATCAGTCGTTGATGATAAATCTTTTCTCTCCTTTTGAAACCTGAAGGGTTCGTTGTAGAAAAATCTGCTTATTTTGCCAATAAAAATCAGAGCAAACAGTTCAATATGACACATTTTTGGTAACTGGGGCTAAGTAGCAACCACCCCTCAATATTAAATGTTAGAAGGCACAAAGGTTTCAATGTTGCTCTTACAGCCATACAGTTCCCTACATGACTGAATTCAGACTGACTGGATATGATGAAAATGAGGGAAGAGTTAAGAATAACTATGGGTTTTGAACTGGTTGACTGAAGGATTGTAGGGCCCTCAATGGAAAAAGATAAGTTAGGAAAAGATTTGGGAGGAGGGGGAGGATGAGTTCACTAGACTACAGTGTTCAGCAGGTCCTTCCAGGCTGGAGAGGTGAACTGTCAATACTGATCTACCAGCAAGCATTTCTTAAGCACCTTCTTGGTTTCAAGGCCTTTGCTAAGCCCAGGAGTTAGAGACATAAGTGAGAGAGCCTGCCTTCAAGGAGCTTACATCCTACCAGAGGAGAAAATGCTTCCAAATGTTAAGTATATGCAGAATAATATCCAGGTACATACAAAGCAACTATAAAATGAACACAAGGCAACATGGAATGAGGGCTCTAGCAGTTGTGGAGGAGTCTGGAGGAGACCAGGGATTCCCAGAGGTGGAGGGGAGAGTACATTTCAAGGATGAAGAAAAGATGGAGACAGGAGATGGGGTATGGATTGTTGAGTGGGCTAAGTGTAAGACTGGAATTGACAAAAATAATTCGGAACTGGGCTGTGTAGTGCTTTAGATGCTAGAGTGGATATTTGATCCTAGATGTCATAGGAAGCCCCTTGGGATTGAAGAGGTGAAGAGGGTGGGGAGAGGTGATCAGTACTTTGGGAAAGTCTCTGGTGGTGTTTTTGGCAGATGGATTGGAAAGGGAAGGGAATTGAGCTAAGGAGATCAAATTCAAGGCAATTACCCGGCAGCTAAGTGGCACAGTGGTTAGAGCACTAGTGCTGGAGTCAGAAGTTTTAATCTGACCTCTGACACTTAACTGGCTGTATGACCCTGGGTAACTCACTTAAGCCCATTGCTTAGCCAAAAAAAAAAAAGAAAGGGGGGGGTGGCAATTATTGCACTAGTTCAGTCATTAGCATTACTCTCTGAAGACAGTGACCTTGCTTCCCAGGGAAGAAAACATCCCCAGTCTTTCCTGCTGTGGAAGTTTGCTGATCAGCAAATGCCGGTGTTGGGGGAATTTCTCACTGAATAGGCAAACCTAAAACAGATTCACATTTTCACAGAATCACAGAATGTTAGCATCTCAAGAGATTATCTAGAATGTCATCACAGGGTAAGACCAGATTCTTCCTTCTGACTGGACAGTTCTACCTCTGACTGCATGGTCCTGAATAAGTCACTTAACCTTAGTGTCCCAGCACTACCACCACAAACGGTAAAGCTGAGGCTGGACAGCACTGGCAAGAGAGAACTTCCCCCCTGGGAACTCCTCACACAAATCTAGGCCTCAGCCTTCCCAAAACAACAAATCCCATTTTTCTGTCTAGGACAGAGGTTCAAGTTAGTTCAGAAGCTCTAAGATTACAGCTCATAATGCTACAGCCAGGACTCAAACCCAGGTGTTCTGAACCCAAGCTCCTCACAGGAATGTCCTCCAGTTATTATGCTTTTGACTAATATTTTATTTTACTGACTCCTATCTCAAGTTAATATATTTAAAATTTTTGGTGTATATCACAGATGTGGCTAAGATCAGGGGGCAAATATAAATGTATGGTAACTGTAACAAAGTCCAAGCCTGCTTCTAATTATTTATCATAGGATGGCATACCACTGAAGGAAATAAAGTATTTCTTGTTCCCTTCCTGCCCATGGGAAGTCCTTTGGAAAACTCCATTAACAAAACTTGTCCTGCAGAAAGGATTTGTAAATGAAAGTTGGGTCGGTTTTGTGAGGCCAAAGCAAACGGGCTCACGGTGCGAGCCTGACAAAATTTCCCACATGTCAATTCAACCCATCTCTCCTAGTTTAAGTAAGACTACAGCTGAGATGCATTTTTCAAAAATTGGGACTCCAGGGGAAAAAAAAAATTTGGCCTCTTTCTTCTCATTAGTTTAGAGATCAAACAGAAGGCTCTAATGAGTTGACTTACATAAAGCCTATTACCAAATTAAACATTCATATACTTACATAGTTTAAAATATTATCAAATACCATTATCAATGCTAGCTATTCTCCTTCCTTAAAAACTAACACAGATGGTGAAAAGCCTGGCACACTCGGCCATTGATGGAATAAAGACTGGGTACCCACTCAGGTCAAGGGCAGCCAGAGTGGCGGGGCTGGAGTCAGGAGGACCTGAATTCAAATTCAGCCTCAGACACTTCCCAGCTGTGTGATGCTGGGCAAGTCACTTAACCCTGTTTGCCTCAGTTTCCTCATATATAATAGGAGCTGGAGAAGGGAACGACAAACCACTCCCATATCTTTGCTAAGAGAATGCTGGTAAAGGAGGAAGCGGCTGAAATGACTCAAAAACAAAACACACTCAGGTCATTCAAGAACAAGGGCAAATGAACCCTGTTTATTAAATAAACGAAAAAAGTCCTGCTGCTGCTACTGCTGCTGCTGGCTCCTCGGGAGGCGACAACGACTGCGAGCCTTGCTTCTTCTGAAAACGCAGGGACCTCGAACAAAGTCTCTGCCCGGCCGCTTCGGCACCTGCCCGGCCGCTTCGGCACCTGCCCGGCCCCTTCGAGGATCGTCCCCAGCAGCGTCTCCCGGCCTGGCCCCTACGCGTCCAGGTCGAAGTCGTCGCGCTCGTTGCTGTAGTTGAGCACGTGCCGCTTGATCTTGGACGAGTCCACCCAGGTGATGAAGTCCTCCATGGCGCGCGTTACCAGGCAAGCGGGGTCGGTGACCACGTGCGGGCCCACGCGCACGTGGCCCTGCTCCACGAAGGCGACGGCGGCGCGCAGGTGCTGCGCCATGCGCAGCTTGACGAGCACGACGGGCAGGCGGCGGCGGCAGAAGCTCGACGCGGTGACCGTGTCGCAGAGCTGCAGCGACGACTGCGTGGGCACGAGCCCCATGGAGTACAGCTTGCCCAGCAGCGCGGCCGAGGCGCTCACGCGGAACGGGTCGCGCTCGGGCAGGTCGCGCAGGCGGCGCGCCAGGTCGCGCACGGCGCGGCTCAGCCGGTTGTAGCGCGTGTAGTCCTCGCGCCGCTGCACGTGATAGCGCCGCAGCACGCGCAGCTCGTGCAGGTTGTGGTCCATGGCCTCCCAGTTCAGGAAGTCCACCTTCTTCAGGAGCTTCTGCTCGTGGAACTTGAGCTTGCGCACCATGATGGCGGTGGCGGCTGAGGCTGAGGCTGCTGCGGAGGAACAAGAAGAGCGAGCGAGCGAGAGAGAGAGGTACAGAGAGGCAGACCTGCAGACCCGCTTGCTCTCCGCAGAAGCGAAAGCACTTCCGAGTCAGGTCGGGAGGCGGGCCCGCGGCCGGCTCCCTCCTAGCCATTGGCCGACGGGCGGCGCGGGCCACGCCCCCAGCTCTTACTGGCCGAGAGAAAGCCACGCTCGCCAGTCCTTTTGCTTCCAAATAAACAGCCTGCATCCTGGTCCTTTAACGCGCCTGCGCCTTGGGCTGCATCGGAGACGTGTGAGGCTGTACCCTGGGCCCTGCTTGGCTGACTCGGCGTTGGCCTTGGCCTTGTTTCTCTTACTGTCTCTTGGTCCCTCTCTTTAACTTGAAGCAGTCCAAGTCAAAAGAGCACAGATTAAAGGCCTGCCGTGTACAGGCATCGTGCCGAGCCCTGAGGGTGCAAAGAAGCAAAAGACAACCAGTTTAATGTGTATTTTTAATATTCATGCTTGATGTACACGTGTATGTATATACACAGGGGCCAGGTGACGCAGCGGATAGAGCGCCCAGCTGGGAGTCAGGAGCACCTGAGTTCAAATCCAGCCTCAGACACTTAACTAGCTGTGTGACCCTGGGCAAGTCACTTCACCCAGATTGCCTCAGTTTCCTCATCTGTAAAATGAGCTGGAGGAGGAAATAGCAAACCACTCTAGTATTTCTGCCAAGAAAACCCCGGATCGGGTTAGGATGAGTCTGAGGCAACTGAACAACAGCAATAAATACACATGTAACTTTAATGTTTGCAGACGATGTAGGTATATGTGTGCATATCTCTCTAGACCTATATGTAACTCGATGTGTTTATTTTGCTTTTATCCCGTGTATACTTGCTTGTCTCCTCTGGCAGAGTGTAAGCCCCTTGAGGGCAGGAACTCTTTGATTTTGTTTTTATGCCTCCAGTGCCCAGCACAGTGACAAGTGCTTCATAAATGCATCTTTTTTTTTTTTTTAAGGCAATTGGGGTTAAGTGACTTGCCCAGGGTCACACAACTAGTAAGTGTCAAGTGTTTGGTCTGAGGCCGGGTTTGAACTGAGGTTCTCCTGACTTCAGGGCCGGTGCTCCATCCACTGCGCCACCTAGCTGCCCCCATAAATGCATCTTGATGGATTGTTTTGTATGCGTTTTATTTGCATTATCTCATTTGAATCTCTCAGTGCTCCTCCGCGGTAGGGATTGCAATCTCTCTTCTACAAAAGAGGGACTTGGAGCTAGAGAAAGGGAGCCCTGTGCTCACGGTCACGGTCACGTAGCTAGTGAATGTCTGGAGCTGGGGTGTGAGCCCGGGGCTTCCTTGATCAAGTCTAGCCCTCCAACCATGACGTCACGCTGCATATCCAGTGGTAGAAGAGGATCCGAAGGTGGTAGGCTGGTCATGTAGGGAAAACAGAGGACACATGGACCGCTCCCGTGTTCTGTTGCTATCTATGAAATGGTAAAAGACCTTGAGTCCACTTACTTGTCTGACTTTTGGTCTTAAGATCTTTTTACAATCTTAAAAAATATTGAGGACCTTCCCCCCAAAAGCATTTGTTTATGTGGGCTATATCTATCGATATTCACTGTATTAGAAATGAAAACTTTTTAGTTTTATTATGAAAATAATTTTAGATCTCAGGGACCCTCAAGGGTTCACCGAGGACACAGAGAACCATTGACCTAGAGTAGACCCATCAGTACAGCTACTGATCAGAGAGTGAATCATTTCTAATTAGTTGAAATAACATGGTTACTGTTGTTTTTTCTGTGCCTGGCTTGGTGACTCTGTGGACCGTAGCATGCCAATTCTGCCCGTGGAATTTTCTTGGCAATGCTATTGGAGTGGTTTGCCATTTCCTTCTCCAGTGGATTAAGGCAAACAGAGTTAAGTGTCTTGCCCGGGGTCACACAGCTAGTAAGTGTCTAAGGCTAGATTTGAACTCGGGGCTTTCTCAGTCCAGACCCAACCCTCTGTCCACCGAGCCACCTGGCTGCCTCCAACTTTGTTACTACTAGACTATAAATTTCATGATGCCTTATCTAAGCTTAGGTTATCTCTATTCTCCCTCCTCCCCATTTGAAGAAACTGAGGCACAGAGCATTTATGGATGTGTGTCAGTCTACCCACACTGATGAGATCACAGGTCCAAGAACGCGTACCATATTTCTAAAGGTATTTCTAAAACATATTGTGCTGGCTGGCTCACATATACCCTGGCCTGGCCTCTTGTCTCACCACTCTCCCTCCCACTTTGCTTCTCCCTGAGCACATTCCTCTGCTGTTTCTCCCTCCACCCAATGATGCAATCCATAAAAACAGAAAGGAGGAAAATGACCAAAAGTTAGCGGAGTGGGGAAGGTCAACAAATATTTATTAAACACTAGGCGTTGGCGGCCAGTTCGGGGTGGGGTGGGTGAGGAGTGGAGAAATCCTAAACTTAATTATGATGTGTATAATCTGGTGCCAACAAAGTTAGTTGAATTAATTAGAAAGGATTCACTTTCTGATCAGTGGCTTAGTAATTAGCGAGTCAGAGGCAGTATATGGTGTGATGGAAGGACATGGAGCCCAGAGACCCAGGTTCAAAAGTTGACCTCTGACACCGGGCGGGTGGCCCCAGAAAAATCTGAGTCTCAACTTCCTTTTGGGGAAGATAGGTATTAATAATACTTCTAGTAAGTGAGTACTTACAGGGTTGTTGTAAGAGTCAAATGAGTTAGTTTATATAAGTGCTCTCTAATCTTTAAAGCGCTACATGTAAAGATCCAGTATTATCATTATTTTTATTATTAAGGCAAATATTGTGCAGAAATAGGTGTAAGGATAGCACAAAATAGTACATGATAAGAACGTAAAAAGGGGGCAAAGTATTTTGGGAAGTCTGGTGAGGGAGAAGGTCGTTATTAGTAATGGTTATCAGGGGAGGCTTCCTGTAGGAGGTGGGATGTAAGTTGGACTTTACTGGTGAGTAGAAATTCACCTAGTGTATGGGAGTTGGGGGAGGGGAGGCTGTGACTATTCCAGGTACTGGAAATAACTTGAGTAGAGCAAGGAGAGGGAATTATGTGCCTGAACATCACTAGAGCTTCTTTGGGGGGAGGGGGAGAGGGGATCAGATGAGGCATCAGAGTGGCAGAAAAGGGCTCGTGTCTTTGGTCTCTGTTTTTGGTTGAGGTGCGATGTAGGACTGCAGAGCCCCCCTAGGGCTGCTGACATTGGCTTTTTAGTGGGGGCGGGGAGGTTTCCTATGGAGCCTGGAAGGGCAGGTGTTGGTCTGGGGTGGGGGGGCAGGGGGAGCAAGTACTGAAGACAAAGGTTCCCTCCTTCACCGTTATGCCTACTTCCCCCGTGTGCCCGATCATTATGGGAAAATATATTTCTAGGAGATATGTAGAATCCTCAGTAAATATATTAGTAATAGCAACAGCTGGCATTTATATAGAGTTTAAGGTCTGTAGAGCACTTTGTAAATATTGTCTTATTTTTATCCTCACAACAACCTTGAGAGGTAGGTGCAGTTATTATCCCCATTTTATAGTTGGAGAAACTAAGGCACAGAGCATTTCATTGACTTAGCCAGGATCACACAGATTTGAATTCAGGTCTTCCTGATTGCCTCCAGGTCCAATGTTCTAACCACTGTGCAGACCTATAGAAGGTCAGAACTGAAAGAAACCTAGAAGACAATTCAGACCAATTTTACAAAGTAAGAAATTGAGGTTTGAAATGGGGAGAGGATTCCACCTCCACACCACCTTTTCCATCATTCCCTTCTCTCCACTCGCAGAAGCCACCACCCTGGTGCAGCACATTTTTCAGTCGTTTTTCAGTTATGTCTGAGTCTTTGTGACCCCATTTGGAGTTTTCTTGGCAAAAATGCTGGAGTGGTTTGCCATTTCCTTCTCCAGCTCATTTTACAGGTGAGGAAACTGAGGCAAACAGGCTTAAGTGACTTGCTTAGGGTCACCCAGCTAGAATGTGTCTGAGGCCAGATTTGAACTCAGGGAGATAAATCTTCTTGATTCCAAGGCTGGCACTCTGTGCACTATGGCACCCCTTAGCAGCTCCTCAGTACATAGTCTTAATAAATGCTTGTTGAATTGAACTGAATTGAATTTACGTCCTCATATACCTGTCTGCTACAACAGTCCCTTAATGGACGTCCAGGTTCCAGCCTCTCCCCTCTCTAATCTATCCTATACAAAGCTACCAGTATTTCTTTTCATTTCTTTTTTTTTTTTCCAGTTTACTTATTTTTGGCAAGGCAATTGGGGTTAAGTGACTTGCCCAGGGTCACACAGCTAGTACCTGTCAAGTGTCTGGTCTGAGGCTGGATTTGAACTCAGGTCCTCCTGACTCCAGGGTTGGTGCTCTGCACCACCTAGCTGCCCCTACCAGTATAACCAGTGGCTCCCTATTGCCTCAAGGATAAAATACGAACTCCTCAGCCTGGCATTTAAAGCCCTGAACAATCTGACTTCACGGACTACCTTCCTAGATGCATTGTGGACTGCTCCCCTTTGCCTACTCTACATTCTAACTGAACTGGCTTACCAGCTGTTATTTGAATTCAGTATTTCATCTCCCACCTCCAAGTCTTTGCACAGGTGTCCTCCCATGCCTGGAATGTACTCTCTCATCACCTCTGAATGAATGAATGAAAAAGCATTTATTAAATGCTCTGGAGATACAAATGCAAAGTAAAATAGTCTCTGTCCTCAGAGTTTAGATGCTAATGGGTGGAAAAACACTACCTATATGGGAGTGGTAGTCAGGGAAAGAAGTACCTGGCAGCTACTAAGGAAGCTGATCCATAGGGCAGTCAGGTGACATGTCCTTTCTAGGAATAATAGCAGGATGGCAAGAAGTGAAAAGGGGGTGTGGGTCTTAAGGTACCAGTGGGCTTGTTGATGGCCCCATGGCAGGAGCACCTGCAAAATGTGATATGAAACATGGTCTGGTCTGCTAGTCTGGGACAAGCGGTCACAATGGGCTAGATCAAGACAGCTTGCCGGGTGACTGGAGTTCCAAAGCTGAGTGAATT